CCAGCGCGACCCTGGCCCCCGCGCGCCGAGTGCAAGTCTTCATAGTAATTAAATCTTGATCCGCGCGCGCGTTGCCGCTCGCATCCCTTCATTACCGTGATGCCTTGGGCGCCTGCCTGCTGTTCTTCTAGCCTTTTCGAACGTGCGACCTCCGTGCCCTGCGACGAGAACTCCTATTCCTCCTCTTGTCCCCGTCTTCGCTCTCTTGTCAAAGTTCTCCAGAACTTTCGACGAACGCCTGTTCTTGTCCTGGTTTGATTCAGTGCGGCCCCCTTCAAGCGAGCCCGCCACCTCCAAGCAGCGCTGACATTGTCACCGTCCTTTCTTCGGAATACTTTCCGTCTTTCGCGCGGCCTCCACCGCGATCGTTGCCGTGAGATCTCCCGTCAGGCCGCATCCATGCGCTCGACCAATTCATCGTGAACATCCGTCGGCTGTCCATGTTTGTCTGGGCGGGGCTTCCAGGTCCGTTGTGCATGTAATTTTCTCCTTGGACGTTCTGGTCTCTCCGCAGTGTGGAAGGGCGCAATGGGCGCTCTAGATAAATGTTCTTTCCAAGTGGTGCGCGCTTCCCCGGCGCTGTAAACCTGTTCCTCCGTGCGTCATCAAGCAATGGGGAGTCCATCTGCCTCGACGCGCCTGCGCCCCACCATGTGTGAGTCCGCTCGTCAATCATCGGATTTCCCCTGGATGTCGTGGCCTCCTGCGCGCGGCCCCCGTGGAACCGCCCCGCGAGCGCGTCGTCGCGTTGGCGTGTCTGCCCCTGGCCACGCCCCCCCCTGCAGTGTCTGCGGAGTCGTGCTTCCTTCTCTGACCAATGATCGCATTCGACCATTTGAAGCGTCCGTGTGCGCTACCCGCCCCCCCGCAGCTATGAAAGATGGAGACGTCCTCCTCCGTCCTCGCCAGCTCCAGAACATATTGCGTGACCATCTGGCGCCGCTGTGTATGCGTCTCCTTCCGCGAACGGCCTCTCTTGCATCGGAATCGCATTCCCACGGGCGTCGCTCCCGCAATGCTAAGCGAATCGTCGACAGTTCCTTCCTGCGTGCCGCGAGCGTTCCACGAGATTATGCAAAACTGAACATTAATCCCTTGGCCTTCCAGATCCCCATCCAGATTCATTTTTTTGTTGGTTTGTTTTTTTTTGTTCTTCCCCTTCTTCTTTAAAATGAGAAATCAAATGTGCGCATTGGCGCGCCCCCGTCAACTTTCGCCAAAGTCCCCGTGCCACTCCTATCCGCGTGTTCGTCGCCAGTGCCGTGCCCTATTCCGTGGCCGCGAATTCATCGGACATCTCCTGGTATGCCATTGCCGGCCTCAGCAATTTCATCATGCCCCCCTCCCCTGACCGCTCTGCCGCTCGAGTGTTGTTCCATCGCGCCTGCCTTTCCGACTAGCTGGTTGCTGTCTCTCTTGATCCACTGGCCGCCCCCTCCAGTCTCCGCAGTGGTCGCCCTCGCAACTTTCGCGACGGCCTTGGTCCAGCTCAGTGTTGGGCTACGCATCGAATCCGGATTAGCCTAAACCTTGATTCCCAAGACTTCGCGCGTGCGTTTATTGCCACATCGATGCTCGACTCTTTAAACGCGCTGCCACGCGGCGGGATCATCTCCAAAAAGCGCGCGCTTCCTCCGCGTCCTTCTGAGCTGCTCCTGTCCATTCCTGCGCGGTGCTCATGGTCGTTGCGCCCGTGGTGCCTCCAAGGGAATCGCCGAACCATAATGTTCTTATTCGCCTTTCAAAACGCGCGCCTCCGAGTTTTTTAAATGCGCGCTGTCCTTGCCATCCTTCTCCTTTGCAGATGACCTCCAATCTGCGCCGCATGCTGGCCGGGTCTTCCCGTGCCAATTCCTTCGTGAGGTTCGACGCCGTCTTCTGGCAAACGATATTGCGTGACCATTTGCTCTGTCGTGGATGTCGCTCCCCCCTTTGCCGACTGCGCCGATGGCGCCGCTGTGTCAACTGAGTTTTTAACTTCCTGGGCCGCGGCCGTTGTCTCTCCCGCTATTCTGGCAATTCTTTCATTGCTGTCCTCGTGCCCTTCATCATGTCTCGGTCATCATCTTCCGTTTTATTCGTCGTCGCTCATGCCGCCCCCGTCCAGATGCGCATTTGAATATGTTTCCTCCTCGGCATTGTAGAACGCCCTGTCGCGCTGATTCTGCCTCTTGGCCGCGTCGTTCGGAGAAGCGACGGTGTGCTCAACGGCCTTCCAGGCTCCCGTGCTTCCATGGTCGAAACTGTTTCAGCGAGTCGCGTGTGCATAGCAAGCGTGCAATGTGCGGATTGTGGGCGCGAAGATCTTTAACGTAAAGGTCTCGAGCCAACATGGCCATGGAGGATGATGAAGATGGGCGGGAAGGCAGAGGGGGGGGGGGCGGATGCCAATGCACTGTCGTATATTCAAGACGTGGACCTCTTGATGCGAGCCGTCTCTCGGCTGTCGCGGGGGCCCCGGGCGCCAATTTTGCGAGCGAAGGCAGTCGCGATTCTCTCGCGACCCAGGCCTGGAGTATGACGCTCGCGCGTAGCTCGTGCTGCTCGCGCGATCTCCCCCCGCGTGTTTGCCCATTCCGCCCGCGTGCCGTTGCTTCTGGGGCCCGCTGGCCTTCAATTCCCTCCTCGCCCCCCCCCCCCCCCCCCCTCCCTTTCCCTTCTGCCTTCCCGCCCCCGCTCCTCCGCCCCCCCGTTCTCGTTCTCGTCCTCCTTGTGCCGCGCGCTGGCAGTCCATTCCAGCGTTCCTTAGATGGGTGCTGGCGCGCCCCCCCCGCGGGCAGCTTCGCCGAGAGGTGGCTCCACTGCGCGCCGCTCTACGAGCAGCGGGCGCCCCTTCGGGGTAGGCTGCGCCCTGGGCAGCCTCGCCAAGAGGCGGCGCCACTGCGCGACGCTTTGCGAGCAGCGGGCGCCCCGTCGGGACAGGCCGCGCGCGACGCGGCCCGGGCAGGCGGCGGCCCTTGAGCGCGCCAGGCGCGACGACGTGGATGGCCGACGTTGGCTCGACGCGACCGTCCGCCACCCCGCCGCAGGAGACGAGCTGGTCGCGCGCGCGCGCTGCGAGGCGGCGCGCCGCTCAGAGCGCGCGAAGCACGCGCGTTACCCCAGCGAGCGTCTGACGGCGTTCGCCGTGGAAACACGGCGGCGGCGTTGCGCGGGCCCGACTGCTCAGCCCGGGCGGGGGTTGGCCGCGCGCTGCAGCAGACCTTCGCCCGCCAGCTGCGGCGCGCCGCAGGGGCGCGATGGCCCCGCGGGCGCGCCCGCGACGTCTGGCCGGGCGCGCGGGCTTCGGCGCGCTGGCCGGGCGCGCAGCGGAGAGGCTGGCTCTCCTGCAAGAAAGGCTGGCCGGGCGCGCAGCGGCGCCAGCGCCGCCGCGGGCGCCACTCTGGAGCTCCGCCGCGACGGGTGTCGGCGTCGGCGGCCCACGCCTGGCCGCGGCGGCCGGGACAGGCTTGCAGACGGCGTGGAACCCCGCCAGATCTGGTGGCGTTTGGCGAAATGTTCCGTCGGCTGCCCTCTTCTGGCGCGTCGTTGCAGCTCTCGTGAGCTCGTCGGCGGAACGCTCCAGCCGCGGCAGCTTGGCACGGCTGCGGGTTGCTGTCTCGCAGTGCGGGTCTTCCACGTTGCAGGCCAGCTCGTCTGGGCTTTGCAGGTGAGCGCCAGACCCTGACCCCCAGCGGCAACAAAGTCGCCTCGGTGCACTGGTGCATTTGCCGCTTCACGGCCGCGTGGAATGTCTTGTGTGCCATCGCAACCAGCGTCGTTTGCCTGGTTGGGTAGCAAAGCGCCGTTTCGAATGGGCCAGCCAGCTCGGGGTCGGCGCCCTGCCGCGCTAGCTGGGCCGGGGTCGCTTCGACCTTGGCCGCGGCCTGGGGTAGCGCCGCCAACATGTTCGCTGGGGTGGAGACCCCGAGCTCGCGCTGCACCTCAGCAGCCGCCTGCTTCCACTCCCCCCAGAAGGCCGCGGCGCGCCCCGGCCTTCGGACAGAGCGGCCGCCGCAACAACTTGTTCCAACAACCCCGCAGCGTCGCGTCGTAGCGGAAGTTCGTTTGCCCGTGGGCAGCGTCGAGTGCAAGTTGTGCTCGCTGTCGATGCGGCGTGGGGGTTGGGCAGTACAGTCGCCGTCTGCCGCTTGCGGCCCGTTTGCAACAGCCGTTCCAAACTGGCCCACAGTTTCAGCAGGCGCGCAGTTGCCCCATCCAGCCCGCTCCCTTGCTTGCCGAGAGGGAGCCGTGGCGTCGGCGTCCCCCGACGCCCTGAACTGCGAACCGAAAACAGGCAGCACGGGTACGCATCTCCAGGCGAGCTCGGCCTGGGCCGCCCGGATTCTCGCTGGGGACCAAGCCATCGCCTTGCTGACTCAAGGGCGCGAACACGTCGCACTGACTCAAAAATTTGTCCTCCTCCTCTCCCTTCTCCTCGTCTTTCTCCTCCTCGTCCTTCGCCTCCGTCTCCGCGTCCTTTTCCTCCTTCGCCTCCTTCGCCTCCTTCTCCTCCTTCTCTCCTCCTCCTCCTCCTCCTCCTCCTCCTCCTGCCCCTCGCACTCCTTTCGATGCGGTTTCCACCTTCTCCTCCGCTTCCTTCCCCCCCGCCTCCTCTCCCTGCTCCTCCTCTGGCTGCTGCTGCTGCTGCTGCTGCTGCTGCTCCTCCTCCTCCTGCTCTTCCTGCCTCCTCCTTTTCTTTCCACAGCTCCTGCTTCTCCTGCAGTTCCTTTCGTCCTGCTTCCTCTTCCGACTCTGTCTCGTCTTTCCCCTCTACTTCTTCTCCTGCTCCTCACTCGTCTTCCCCATCTCCCATAGAGCTCCAAGAACCCACGATGCCTGGAAGCAGCCCGGAACATTGTGAAGGCACCACCGTCCTCGCTCATGGGGGTTTCCGGGTAAGGGCCCTTCCGCTCCTGTAGCATCGTGAAACCACCCAAAACCAACCTGACGTCTCTCGCCAGCTGCTGTTATTTCCCGTCCGCCCCAAGTCACTTCCAGACTCGGGGAGGCGCCGGGTCCTTCTCCAGCGGGGCGAAGTTGCCCATCTTGCGCTGGATGTCGTCCCACTCAGTGGTGTCGCCAGGGCACAACGCCATGACGCGGCGGGTGGGGGGCCCAGACGCGAGGACTGTGCTGGGGGAAAGACTGGATAGAACGAAGGGTGATGGAGTAGGGGGGGAGGATGACGATGATGATGAGGAGGAAGAGGAGGCGGAGGAGGAGGATGAGGAGGAAAATGATGATGAAAGGTTGGAGAACGAGGAATAAGGGTGAGGCTTCTTGATCGAAACTGGGCGTCGCATGCGAATGCCCTGTAGGAGGTGAGAGGACAAAAAGACGGAGGGCGAGATGGAAAGGAGGAGGAATGAGAGAGCGAGGAGAGGAGGGAGGGAACGTGAGAGAGAGGGGGTGAATGAGCAGGGAGGGGAAGGATGGGAAGAGGGGGAAATATAAGGGTTAGAGATGACGAGAAGGATGATGATATAGGAGGGAGGATTACATATTAAACAAAACATGCATCAACGATACTGCATCACACATTCCGACCCAATTCCCTTCCTCATGGCCCCTAATTGATGTAAGTACGGGGGACGTCCGTTAGAACAACACATGGGCCATTGACATGCTATTCAAGTAGGAACCCCGTCCTGAAAAAAGGACAGCTGTATGCCAATGTATCAGAAGGTATAGCGCAACTAACCGGACGAAATCAATATGTGTATCTATCGCACATGTGTGCATCTGTCGCACGTGTGTGTATTGCGGGACGTAAATCTTGAGGGCGCATCGAACGATGTCCTTCTTATCAATTATGTAATGAGCCTCGCGTCATCCGTATGACGGTTGCATGAGTTCGTGGTCATCCGCCACCGTGCCCTAAGGCACGGGTTGGAGTGTCTTCAGGTCCTTTGCCTGATCCGCTGTAGCCGCAGTCCTCACTCCTGAGGGTTCTCTGATGAGACCCAGACCCGAAATGTCCAAATCTTCCGGGGCTTGGCGCGTGCCTCCTGGCGCTTGTCGCGTCTTTCCGCATGATTTTTTCGTGGCCAGGTGGGCTCCAAGACGAGCCAAGAGGGTTCCAAAAGGCCGCTCAGGCGGTTCAAGAGGATCCGCTGAACGACCACGACCAATCCAAGACGCCCAAATGGCCCCAAGATGGCCAGAACAAACCCAGGAAAGGTCCCAAGAGCCTTCGCAAGAGGGCCCCAGGAGGCAGTAGTCATTGACTGGCCGCAAGCAATGCTTAGCCAGCGTGGGCCCCAAACACTTGGTTTCTAGCAATCTACGTTGTGTATTGCATGTTGTGCAATCAGATATGCAATGCAATCGACGCAGTGCAGTGTATGTGGTGCAGCATCTGTTGTGCAATGTATGTGGTGCAATCTGTATTATGCAGTATATGCCATGCTGTACAAACCAACGTTGTACAATCTTCTATGTCGTGCAATATAGGTTGTGTAATCTATGTTGTGCAACCTAGATGGTGCGCAATCTATGTGGTGCAATCGATGGTGTGCAACGTATGTGGTGAAGTATGTGTGGTACAATCTAAGTGGCACAATCTATGTTGTGCAACTAATTTCTGTTCGCAGTGAATTGTCAACTCCACTGCTCGCGCAAACATCCCACCCACCCACCCGCAACTTGGTTTGCAAAATCTCTTAAGACCGTGACGGTGGGTACCAAATGGCACTTGGCAGCGACAGCGACGCCGACGACGACAGCGACAACGACGACGACGACGCCGACGACGACTACGACAACACCGACGACGTCTCCAACGACTTCGACGACGCCGACAACGACGACGACGACACCGACGACGACGACGCCGCCGCCGCCGACGACGACGACGATGACAACGACGACGACGATGACGACGCCGACGACAACGACGACACCGACGGCCACGACGACGACGACAACGACGCCGACGCCGACGACGACGACGACGACGGCGGCGACGAAGACGCCGACGTGGACGACGACGAGGACGACGACGACGCCGACGCCGACGACGACGACGAAGACGACGACGACGTCGCCAACGAAGACGACGACGAGGGAGGAGGGAGGACGACGACGGCGACAACGACGACAACGACGAGGGAGGAGGGAGGACGGCGACGACGAGAACGACGAAGAAGGCGGAAGGACGGCGACGCCGACGACGACAACGACGAGGGAGGAGAGTAAACGACGACGACGACAACGACGACGACGGCGACGAAATAGAAGGGACGACGACGAGACGCCGACGACGGACGACGACGACGACGCCGCCAGAGCGCGCGCGCACGCTTTTGTTGAAAATCCGTGTTGCGAAGCCTTGTGTTTTTGTAGGTTTTTTGGACGCGCGATTTTGAAATCCTTCCGAAACCGATGGGTTTTGAAGGATTTCGGCATACGCGCGCGACGACGCGCGCGTCTGCACTTCGTCCCATGTATTGCAGAGGACTCTCGCGACGGCACACGCGCAAGGGCGTTCGACAGATTTCGACATGCGCGCGCGCGACGCCTGTTTGGTAGCATGTTGTGAAAATCTTGAAAGACCTATGGTTTTCTTAAGACTTCACAAGAGCTCGCGCGGAAGCTTTTTTAGCAAATCAGTGTTGCGAAACCTTGGATTTTTGTATGTTTTTTTGGAAACTCGATTGCGAAATCCTTCCGGCACCGAAGGTTTTTGAAGGATCTCGGCATGCGCGCGCGACGACGCGCGCGTGTGCACTTCGTCTCATTTTTTGCTAGGGATTCGCGAAAAAGTGTTATATCAGAACAAAACATGTCACCGCATAGTATTTTTTACGAGGGAACCTCAGGGGGGGGATACCAGCCCCCTGGGATAGTGTAAATTCATATTTAGGATGGACATGTGGTCATAATCATATATGATTTACATACCCGAAAGAGGTAGCGATAACTCGGGGGGGGGGGGTAGAGTCTACTCTGGTTTTAGAAAAGAGAATCTCTGTCGTGCAGTCCTCTCTGCTGAACTTGAAGTCGTCATCTCCACTGCTCGCGCAACCATCCCACACACCCACCCGCAACTTGGTTTGCAAAAATCTCTTGGGACCGACTACGACGACACCGACGACAACGACTACGACGACACCGACGACGTCTCCGACGACTTCGACGACGACAACGACGCCGACGCCGACGCCGACGACGACGCCAACGAAGACGACGACGAGGGAGGAGGAAGGACGACGACGGCGACAACGACGACAGCGACGACAAAGACGAGGAAGAAGGGAGGACGGCGACGACGCGAACGACGAAAAAGGAGGAAGGACGGCGACGCCGACGACGACAACGACGAGGGAGGAGTGAAGACGACGACGACAACGACGACGACGGCGACGAAATAGAAGGGACGACGGCGAGACGCCGACGACGGACGACGACGATGACGACGAGGGAGGAGGAGGAAGGACGACCACGGCGACAACGACGACGGAAACGACCACGACGCCAACGAGGACGACGACGACGAACACGAGGAAAGACAGAGGACGACGTAGGCGACGACGACGACGACGACGCGGGAGGAGGGAGGACGGCGACGACGACGACGACGACGACGCCGCCAGAGCGCGCGCGCACGCTTTTGTTGAAAATCCGTGTTGCGAAGCCTTGTGTTTTTGTAGGTTTTTTTGGACGCGCGATTTTGAAATCCTTCCGAAACCGATGGGTTTTGAAGGATTTCGGCATACGCGCGCGACGACGCGCGCGTCTGCACTTCGTCCCGTTTTTTGCAGAGGATTCTCGCGACGGCACACGCGCAAGGGCGTTCGACAGATTTCGACATGCGCGCGCGCGACGCCCGTTTAAGAGCATTTTGTGAAATCTTGAACAACCTATGGTTTTCTTCAGATTTCGAGCTCGCGCGGAAGCTTTTTTAGCAAATCAGTTTTGCGAAACCCTGTGTTATTTTGTATGTTTTTTTGGGAACTCGATTGCGAAATTCTTCGGGCACCGAAGGTCTTTGAAGGATTTTGGCATGCGCGCGCGACGACGCGCGCGTGTGCACTTCGTCCCATTTTTTGCACGGGGTTCGCGAAAAAATGTTATGTTAGAACAACACATGTAACCGCATCGTGTTTTTCCCAATCAACCTGTGTTGTTGGGTCCTCGTTTTGAAGAGACGGCCCCCGCGTTCCTTCCTCCATCCTCCTTCGTCCTCCTTCCTCCTCCTCTCCTTCCTCCTCCCTCCTCCCCCTCCCTTCTGGCACACCCCTCACACGTTTCGTGGCCCCATAGGGAGCTCCACCGAAGGCCCCAGTGGCTGCGCCCGCATACGGTTCCACCCCCCATTCTGGCACACCCCTCACACGTTTCGTGGCCCCATAGGGAGCTCCACCGAAGGCCCCCGTGGCTGCGCCCGCATGCGGTTCCACCCCCCATTCTGGCACACCCCTCACACGTTTCGTGGCCCCATAGGGAGCTCCACCGAAGGCCCCAGTGGCTGCGCCCGCATGCGGTTCCACCCCCCATTCTGGCACACCCCTCACACGTTTCGTGGCCCCATACGGAGCTCCACTGAAGGCCCCAGTGGCTCTGCTCGCATGTGGTTCCACCCCCCATTTCGGCACACCCCTCACACGTTTCGTAGCCCCATAGGGAGCTCCACCGAAGGCCCCAGTGGCAGCGCCCGCATGCGGTTCCCGCCTCCATTCTGGCACAAACCTCCCCTCACACGTTTCGTGGCCCCATAGGGAGCTCCACCGAAGGCCCCAGTGGCTGCGCCCGCATGCGGTTCCACCCTCCATTCTGGCACACCCCTCACACGTTTCGTGGCCCCATAGGGAGCTCCACCGAAGGCCCCAGTGGCTGCGCCCGCATGTGGTTCCACCCCCCATTCTGGCACACCCCTCACACGGTTCGTGGCCCCATAGGGAGCTCCACCGAAGGCCCCAGTGGCTGCGCCCGCATGCGGTTCCACCCCCCCATCTGGCACACCCCCCACACGTTTCGTGGCCCCATAGGGAGCTCCACCGAAGGCCCCAGTGGCTGCGCCCGCATGCGGTTCCACCCCCATTCTGGCACACCCCTCACACGTTTCGTGGCCTCATAGGGAGCTCCCACCGAAGGC